CCATTCGTGCAGTAGCAGCGGCAGCAGCAGCAGCAGCAGCAGCAGCAGCAGCAGCAGCAGCAGCAGCAGCAGCAGCAGCAGCAAAGCCGTCATACGGGCGCCGCTTCTTAATGGATTATCCGCCATCATCGAATCTTCTTAACAAAGATAGTAGAAAACAGACAGCAGCAGCAGCTGCAGCAGCAGCAGCAGTAACAGCAGCAACAGAGGCAGCAGCAGCAGCAGCAGCAGCAGTAGCAGAGGCAGCAGCAACAGCGGAAGCAGTTGCTGGGCATCTCTAGACTGTACAGGGCCCGATGACGGGTGTAGATATAGATGCAGCAGGAGCAGCTCCTGCTGCTGCTGCTGAGGGCAGCGGGAAGGAAAAGGGCAGCAGCAGCTGCTGCAGTGAGAAGAGTAGCAGCAGCAGCAGCAGCAACAGCAGTAACGACAGCATCAACAGCAACAAGGAATGCCACAGCAGCAGCAACGCGGAGAGCAGCAGCAACAGCAGGACCGATAACAGCAGCAGCAGCAGCAACGACGGCGGGAATGACAACAGCAAGGACAGCAGCAGCTGCTGCAGCAAGGACAGCAGCAGCTGCTGCAGCAAGGACAGCAGCAGCTGCTGCACCAAGGACATCAGCAGCTGCAGCAAGGACAGCAGCAGCTGCATCAACGACAGCAGCAACTGCAGCGGTACGGACAGCTACAGCAGCAGCGTAAGCAAGAGGAGGAAGAGCAGCAGCAGCACCAATGCATGCAGCAGCACAAGCATGCAAGGCTTCGATACCCAAACAGAAGCTGCAGCAGCAGCAGCAGATGCTGCTGTTGTGGATATTCCTGCTGCAGCAGATGCCGCTGCTGCGTATACCCCTGCTGCAGCAGGTGCTGTTGCTGCAGATACTCTTACTGCAGCAGATGCTGCTGCTGCGGATATTCCTGCTGCAGCAGATGCTGCTGCTGCAGATATTAGTGCAGCAGCAGATTCTGTTGCTGCAGATATTCCTGCAGCAGCAGATGCTGTTGCTGCGGACACTCTTGCTGCAGCAAACATTGCTGCAGCAGCAGAGGCTGCAGCAGCAGTTGCTGTTGCAGCAGCAGTTGCTGTTGCTGCAGCAGACGCTGCTGCAGCAGACGCTGCTGCAGCGGATGCTGCTGCAGCAGATGCTGTTGCTGCAGCATATAGGCCACGCGAATGGGATTCCCTTGGTGCGCTCTCCAACAACAGCAGCAGCACCGATAGCAGCAGCAGCAGCAGCAGCAGCAGCAGTAGCAGCAGCAGCAGTAATGAAGGAGGTAACGACAGCAGCATTGATGCAGACAGGGGAGACACAAGTGCTGCTGTTAGGGAGGCTCCCTCCACTGTAGGAGAAGCAGCAACAGCAGCAGCAACAGCAGCAGCAGCAGCAACAGCAGCAGTGATTGCAACAGCTGCTGCTGCTGCTGCTGCTGCTGCTGCGGGTGACCCTTGCGCTAGCAGCAACAACAGCAGTGGGGACAGGAGCAGCAGTAGCAGCGGCAGCAACAACAACAACAACAGCAGCAGCAGCAGCGGCGGGGACACTAGCAGCAGCAGCAGCAGCAACATCAGCAGCAGCAGCAGCAGCATTAGCAGCAGCAGCATGAGGCCTCGCACAACAGCCTATAGCTTTATACCTGGTAAGGGCAACAGGACTCGCAGCAGCAGCAGTCCTATCAACAGCAACAACAGCAGCAGCAGCAGCAGTAGCAGCAGTAGCAGCAGCAGCCCCACCAGCAGCAGAAGCGTTCCAGCGGATGCAAGCAGCAGCAGCAGCAAGAATGCCAGAAGCAGCAGCAACACCGGCAGCAGCAGCAATAACAGCAGCAGCAGCAGCAGCAGCAGCAGCAGCAGCAGGAACGATCAACCTGGTGTCCAGGTAATAAATTGTGGGAATTGTGGTCATCCGGTCGTCTTCGACCCAAGCAGCAGCAGCAGCAGCAGCAGCAGCAACAGCAGCAGCAGCAGCAGCAGCAGCAACAAGAGGAAGGAGCCCTCTTCTTCGTCAGACTTTGAATGTTGTATTTGTATGGATGATATTCATGACCCTGTTGTTACTAGATGCGGACACCTTGTATGTCTTGCTGCTGCTGCTGCTGCTGTTGCTGCTGCTGCTGTTGCTGCTGCTGCTGTTGTTGTTGTTGCTGTTGTTGTTGTTGCTGCTGCTTCTGCTGTTTCCCCTTCTCTTCCCTCCTCCCTACCTTATATCCATCAACTACTCAATCTACTGCTGCATAATTTGTTGCTGTTGTTGCTGTTGCTGCTGCTGCTGCTGCTGCTGCTGCTGTTGTGTACAGTTTTGTTGGGGCTGCCTGCATGTATGGCTGCAGCAGCAATCTGTTTGCCCAATATGCAAAGCAAATGTATCTGCAGAGACTGTTACTCCTATCTATGCTAGATATACTAACCCTAAGATGCATGCGCACCAGAGGCACCTGTAAGTCTCCTGCTGCTGCTGCTGCTGCTGCTGCTGCTGCTGCTGTTGATGAGGGTGGTGCTGCTGTTGATAGTGTTACTCCTATTTATGCTAGATATACTAACCCTAAGATGCATGCGCACCAGAGGCACCTGTAAGTCTCCTGCTCCTGCTGCTGCTGCTGCTGCTGCTGAGGGTGCTGCTGCTGCTGCTGTTGATGAGGGTGGTGCTGCTGTTGATGGTGTTACTCCTATCTATGCTAGATATACTAACCCTAAGATGCATGCACACCAGAGATACCTGTAAGTCTCCTGCTGCTGCTGCTGCTACAGCAGCAGTTGCTGCTGCTGCTGGTGTTGTCGTTGCTACTGCTGGTGTATCTGTTGTTGGTGCTGCTGCTGTTGTTGCTGCTGCTGCTGCATGCAGTTCATCAGAAGACACACCAAGTCGGCCACGAGCACAGCGGCCTGCCTCTGCCCCTGGAGGCGGCACTCGATCAGTAAGCAGCAGCAGCAGCAGCAGCAGCAGCAGGAGCAGCAGCAGCAGCAGCAGCACAGTATCTGTAGTATCGCTTAGCAATAGCAATAGCAATAGAGTCAGCAGCAGCAGCAGCAGCAGCAGCAGCAGCAGGACCTATTTGCTGTATTGTGCTATATATATGTTTGTGTCTCTCTGTCTCTCTTTTTCTCTTGCATGCATTATTTTATTTATTTAATTTATTTAATTAATTAATTAATTAATTAATTAATTAATTTATTTATTTATTTATTTATTTATTTATTTATTTATAGGGAATATCTTTTTCTTTTGGTGTTTTTCCCTTTAATATTTCCTTTGGTGTACAACACAATAGACCAACAGCAAGAAGAAATACTGCAGCAGCAGCAGCAGCAGCAGCAGCAGCAGGAACACCTAATCAACTACAACGTAAGATTTAATCTCCTGCTGCTGCTAATGCTGCTTTTTACGGTTGTTGTTGTTGCTGCTGCTGCTGCTGCTGCTGCTGCTGCTGCTGCTGCTGTTTTGCTGTCTCCGTTGTTGTTTTGTTGCTGTTACTGCTACTATTGTTGCTGTTGCTGCTGCTGCTGCTGCTGGTGCTGCTGCTGCTGTCCTTGCTGCTGCTGCTGCTGCTGTTTATTTTCTTTTTTTTTTTTCTTTCTTTTTTTGTGTATACAGCGGAGGACATGCAGCGTTTATATTCATTAATGTTTTTAATAATTGGATTTATTTTAATGAATTATGTTGTCTATTCTATTTAGCTGCTGCTGCTGCTGCTGCTGCTGCTGCTGCAGCAGCAGCAGCAGCAGCAGCAACAGCAACAGCAACAGCAGCAGCAGCAGCAACAGCAGCAGCAGCAGCTGTATAAGCAGTATAATATAGTACTACTGGATACAGCGGAGGTATGCACACACTACCCCCCGTCAGCAGCTGCTGCAATAGCAGCAGCTGCTGCAGCATATAGCAGCAGCTGTTGCAGCAACAGCAGCAGTAGATGCTGAAATAGCAGCAGCAGCAGCAGATGCTGAAGTAGCAGCAGCAGCAGCAATTGCTGCTGCTACTTCGCTGCTGCAGCAAACAGCAGCAGATGAAGTTATATAAGAATTGTCAGTAGGAGGAGTGCAGCAGCAGCAGCAGCAGCAGCAAAGAGAGACAGTTGTCTCCTTCTTTGTTGGCTCTTTTTATTATACCCTTATTCCTTTTATATATTAACAGCGTATGCATGCATGCATGCAGCAGCAGCCGCAGCAGCAGCAGTAGCAGCAGCAGTAGCAGTACCTGTACGCGCTGCAGCAGTAGCAGCAGCAGCAGTAGCAGCAGCAGCAATTATAGAGAGAGACAGAAAGGAGACAGTTAAATAGCTGCATATACACCGCAGATAGGGAGCAGCTCCAGCAGCAAATAAAAAGGAGACAAAAGGGTTTATAATTAATACCTCTATATAAACCCTTCTAGGGTTTAGGGTTTAGGGTTTAGGGTTTAGGGTCTAGCTAGCTGTAGCACCGCCACCTAGCTGACTTTGTTGCAGCTAGCTGCTGCAGTAGTTGGAGCTAGCTGCTGCAGTAGTTGGAGCTAGCTGCTGCAGCCAGGTGCTGCCGCTCGCTGCTGCTGCTGCAGCTAGCTGCTGCAGCTAGCTGCTGCAGCTAGCTGCTGCTGTTGTAGCCACATAACAGCCCTCCCTCAATTGACTACAGCTAGCTACAGCAGCAGCAGCAACAGCACCAGCAGCAGCAGCAGCAGCAGCAGTTACCTGTTGCAGCAGCACCTATATGCTGCAGCGAGAAAGAAATACTAAGGAAATAAAAGAAGAAGATGCATGCAATGGTAATAAAGCCCCAATGTTGCCAATAAATAAATAAATAGTGCATGCATGCATGCATGCATGCATGCATGCAGGGATTGTTATTCTTCTTTCCTTTCTTTTATTGCATGCATGCATTATTTATTTATTTATTTTTATATACACCTGCCTATACACCTCAATAATATTTATTAATTTATTTATTTATTTGTTTATTATTGAGGTGTATAGGTAGCTACTATTAACTAGTATATGCTGAGGTGTATATACACCTGAATATATACATAAGAATATTATTTATTTTATTTATTATATTTATTATTTATTTATTATTTATTATTATTTTTTTAATTTATTTGTATATACTGCTGCTGCTGCTGCTGTTGCTGCTGTTGCTGCTGCTGTTGCTGCTGCTGCTGCTGCTGCTTCTTCGGGTGTACTTGCAGCTCATCCTCCTCCGTCGATTGTCTCCCTGCTGCGCATGCATTAGAGGATTCTTTTCTTCTTTTTATTTATTTATGTATAATTAATTAATTAATTTATTTATTTATTTATATAAATAAATAAATATAAATAGTTCTTTTTATTTATACTGCTGCAGCACCAGTGTGGGGCCCCAGGAGCTGCCTATACACCGCAAGTTCACGTTGTACTCCTTGCTGGTCACAGCAGCAGCACCAGCAGCAACAGCAACAGCAGCAGCAACAGCAGCAACAGCAGAAATAACAACAGCAGCAACAATAATAACATTGTGTATTGAATAATATCCATTATCTCTTTGTGCACATCACCGTCTGCAGCTGCTGCTGCTCCTGCTGCTGCTGCTGCTCCTGCTGCTGGTCCTGCTGCTGCTGCTTCCTCTTATGCAGCACAATGGAGGGGCCTTCTCCTTCTTCTTGTGCTTCTCTCTTCCAAGATTATGACGATATGCAGCAGGATGAGCAGCAGCAGCAGCAGCAGCAGCAGCACTATCAGCAGCAGCAGCAGCAGCAGCAGCAACAGCTGCAGCAGCAGCAGCAGCAACAGCAGTATCAGCAGTATCAGCAGGTTCCCTTCGGGGTCCCTGAATATGCAGCAGCACCAACAGCAGCAGCAGCAGCAGCAGCAGCTAAGGATCCCCTATTAGCCCAAGGGTTCTCTGGTGTATATGCAGCAGAGGAGGCATTATCATCATCATTTGCTGCTGCTGCTCCTCTTGTTGCTGCCACCTCACAACAGCAGCAGCACCAACAGCAGCATCAACAGCAGCAACAGCAGCAGCAGCAGCAGCAACAGCAGCAGCAGCAGCAGCAGCAGGAGAAGGAAGAAGACGATGATGACGAGGAAGAGGACGAAGAGTATGATGATGATGTACCAGTGTTACCAGGTAGCAGCAAAGAGGATCGTGCTGCAGCAGCATCAACAGCAGCAGCAGCAGCAGCAGCAGCAGCAGCATGGCCATCCCCTGGCCCCTTAACCTTTAAGGTATTAAGACAAGATAATAGGAGGAGGGCATGCATCCTCTCTCTTCCTCATGGGTGTGTTACAACCCCACTATTTATGCCTGTGGGTACTAATGGGGCTTTGAAGGGTTTGCATGCGCTGCTGCTGCTGCTGCTAGAAAAGGAGCGCATGCAAGGTATGTGGGGAAATAATAATACTAATACTTCTGCTGCTTCTGCTGAGGACCAGCAGCAGCAGCAGCAGCAGCAGCAGCAGGAGGAGGAAGAGGAGGAACAAAGAAGAGAGGAAGAATCATTAATAGCTGCATATCCTGCAGCAACAACAACAGCAAAAACAGTAGCAGGAGCAGCAGCAGCAGCAGCAGCAAATAATATACCTTATCCTCCTTCTTTTTTTAGTAGATTAATATTATCTAATACATTTCATCTATATAGACAAATAGGTATAAAACGCATGCATGCAAAAAAATTGGGGCTGCATGCATTTATGCTATGGGGGGGTAGCCTACTAACAGACAGCGGCGGGTACCAGATTGTCTCCTTATTTAATATAAATAATGTTTATGAGCAAGGTGTCTCCTTTACTCTTAATAAACAACCTAAATTAAGAAGAATTACTAATAAAAAAAAAAAAAAAATTATGCAGCAACAGCAGCAGCAGCAGCAGCAGCAGCAGCACCAGCAGCAGCAAGAGGCTGATAGCGAAGTTATACTTCTTACCCCAGAAGAATCCATCACTATGCAGGTAAATAACTGTCTCCTTTTGTCTCCTTTTATTGTCTCCTTTTTTGTCTCCTTTTTTTGTCTCCTTTTTTTGTCTCCTTTTATTGTCTCCTTTTATTGTCTCCTTTTATTGTCTCCTTTTGTCCCCTTTTTTTGTCTCCTTTTTTTGTCTCCTTTTTTTGTCTCCTTTTATCTGTCTCCTTTTATTGTTGTCTCCTTTTGTCTCCTTTTGTCTCCTTTTGTCTCCTTTTGTCTCCTTTTGTCTCCTTTTTTTGTCTCCTTTTTCCTTATTTACTCTCCCCTTTTATCTCTTATCTTGTCTCCTTTTGTCTCCTTCTCTTTCTGCTGCTGTCTCCTCTCCTTCTGCTCTCCCTTTCCTTCCCTTCTCCCTTTCCCCCCTACACCATCAAAAAAAAAAATAATACAGCAGCAGCAGCAGCAGCAACAGCAACAGCAACAGCAGCAGCAGCAGCAACAGCAACAGCAACAGCAGCAGCAGCAGCAGGTTACCATCAACAGATAATGAGTATCCTTGTGTAAAATATAAGAGAAGATCAGCAACTCTTCTTGGTGTATTCTTTAATACCTCAGCAGACACCGCAGCAGCAGGTAATGCCTAATAAAAAAAAAAAAAGAAAAAAAGAATAAATTATTTATTTATTTGTTTATTTATTCTATTTATTTATTTTATCTATTATAATTAATTAATTAATTAATTAATTAATTAATTAATTATATATAAGTTTACCTTTAAGAGGTCAGAAACAGCACTTTTTATTTTGTCTGCTGCTGCTGCTGCTGCTGCATTCACTGCAGCAGGAGATAGGGGTTGTTCGCTGTCTTCTGCTGCAGTTGCTGCTGCTGCAGCTGCTGTTGGTGCTGTTGCTGCAGTAGCAATGTTTATCTGCTTCTTTTGCTTGCTGCTGCTGCTGCGTTGCTGCTGCTCCCCAGACGTTTTGTTGCTGTGGCGGCCTCGTCGCAGTTTGCTGCCTCTCCCGCTGCTGCTGGCAGTGCTGCTGCTGCTGCTGCTGCTGCCGTTGCAGCCTGGCGGCAGCTTGAGGCCATGTGCTGCAGCAGATGCATCTACAGTACTTCCTGATATGCTGCTGCAGTCTGTACTTCCCGCTGCTGCTGCTGCTGCTGCTGCTGCCTCTGTTGCTGCTTCTGCTGCTGCTGCTGCTGCCCCTTGCTGCTCTCGTATCTTCTTCTTAACTTTCTTGTGTCTTTTATCTTTATTTAATAATAAAGGAGACACAGACACCCCACTGTTGCTGCTGTCTGCCATAGAAACCTGCTGCTGCTGCTGCTGTTGCTGCTGCTGCTGCTGTTGTTGGTCCTGCTGCTCCTCTTGCTGCCGTTTCTGGGGTTGCTGTTGCTCCTGTTGTAGCTCTTGCAGTTGTTGCTGCTGCTGTTGCTGCTGTTGCTGCTGTTGCTGCTGTTGCGCTGCGTGGCCTCTGCCTGACGCTCGTCTCCTTATCTGCAAGCAGCAAACAAACAAAAAGTAGATACTGCAGCAGCAGCAGCAGCAGCAGCAAACGAAGCTGCCGCAGCAGCAGCAACCTTCTGCAACCTGCTGCTGCTGCTGCTGCTGCTGCTGCTGCTGCTGCAGTGAGTCTTACTTGTTTAGAATTCGGAGGGTCTGTCTTATTTGATTTGTCCAT